CGAACGTTAGAGATTAACCACCGACACTCAGATAGTTATCCATGTGGAATCTCTCGACGGGTCTCCAATATTTTGTTCTATAACAAAACATCCACATGTTCATTTAAGTGTCACCACACTTTAACTTGTGAGATCAGTTACTTACTTCACAAGTAAGAAATGCCACATGTGATGGTCTATCCGTAATAACGATATCCGTATCTTGTTATTACTTACGACCACGGAAGATTTAAGATTCAATCAGATGTAATTTGTATCTCACAATCACAACTCCTTGTGATTAACAAATTACAATTATTTGAATCTACGGACTCTATTATTTATTTAATTGTCTATTAATTAAATAATAGATCTACCATTTAATTGCATTAATTATATATAAAAGTATTTATGTCCAAAGTTGATTGGACCTAGGGCATAATACTTATAGCTATAAACAAATAAAGAAATTAAATTATTCTTTCTTTTCAGAGTTATATATGCCACAGATTTATGATTATAGAAGAAAAAATGTATAAAAAGGATAAAAGATATAAATATCAAAGACAATATCAAGATAGAATATATATATATATATATATATTCTATATTATTTTACCAAGTAGGACTTATTATAAAAACAAAAGACCTAATTATAATAAATATGTTAAAAATATCTATAAACAAATAAAGAAATTAAATTATTCTTTCTTTTCAGAGTTATATATGCCACAGATTTATGATTATAGAAGAAAAAATGTATAAAAAGGATAAAAGATATAAATATCAAAGACAATATCAAGATAGAATATATATATATATATATATATTCTATATTATTTTACCAAGTAGGACTTATTATAAAAACAAAAGACCTAATTATAATAAATATGTTAAAAAGCCAAGTAATAAAAAGGATTGTAAATGTTACATCTGTGGAGACCTTAGACATTTTGTTAATAAATATCCCAATAAAAATAAAAGTAGAGAAAATATATCTAAAGCTATAATAATTAAAGAAATACATTGTGATATTATAGAATTATCTGATAATAAATTTTGTAACTCAATTTATAGTATTTATACAGAAGAAGAATTAAACAATTTAGAAATAACAAGTAGCTTTGAAGACAGTAATGATAATTTAAAAGAATTAAATTTTTCAATTTTTGATATAAAAATGATGAATATAGAACAAGAATGTGTCCATGAATGGATTAGAGAACAAGAATTAATGATGGATAAATGCAAAATATGTAAAATATACCCAGAACATAAAAATAGAAATCAATGTTATAATTGCTTAGGAATTAAAGAAGAAATTAATAACAAAACTAAAGACTTGAAAATATAGAAAAATTAGAAGATAAGATAATAAATATAAATAATAGAATAAATAAAATATATGAAACATTAGAAGAAGTACAATATAGGATCAGAAATCTAAAAGCAAAATGAAGACAGTCTATAGATAACTACACAGAAAATAATTATTTAGAAATAGAAAGTTAAAAAAAAAAAGGTTTGTCAAATATTTATAGTAAAGTCAACTAAAAGTCTTAGGATACCCAGAGAAATACAAATAAATAAAATGATAAAATTAAATTTAATAGCTTTAATAGACACAGGATATATATTCAAAATAATTAAAAATGACTTTCCAGAATATTAATTATATCATATAATGTGATATTTAACCCATGTTTGTCTTCATTTAAGATAAAACTCTTTAATTATTATACTCATTTTTATCGCATTTATAAAATAAAATATTTTGTACACAGATTCAAAATTTTTTTTTTTCTAATTTTTAATCATATATTTTTAAAAAACATCACCATTCAAAACAAGGCTTAGTGGCTAGTGGAATAGCATGACTTGCATACTTAAGTCCTTAATTTGACAATTTTGCATTCTTCATTTTGTGAATTTTCAAGACTGGATCAGAGTTCGATTCACAAAATTTCCGATCGGACGTGTCCTGGTTTAACACCCCATCATTTTTTTTCCTCCTACTGCTGGTTATATATATATATATATATATATTTAATCCATTTAGTCTTTCTGTATCAGGATCCAGAAGATTGGCATCATAGTATGTACTGTAAATCCTACATCTACGTAGATCCCTTTGCACCTGCCTTTATTCTTGTATCATTTGGAATTAATTTTGCCTGGGTTTCTTAAATATCTTTTCTTGATCTTGGGTAAGATTTTTTATCATATCTCGTAAGTATCGATATCGATATTTTTGCGTTTCAATATTTGTTTAATTGATGATTGTACTGCGTCAAGATTGGTTTTTTTTATAGTCGGTTAACTTTTTTTAAGTTTGATAGTGAATGATGATATTGTAGTGTACAAGGACATGGAACTGAAATAAAGTACAAAATATGTAATCCTAAAAAAACATTGAAATGGATGGAATCAGAATTTTCAAAAAAATCAAATTTATTTATTATTATTATTATTATTATTATTATTATTATTATTATTATTATTTTATGGTCTTCTTCGAGCATTGAACTGGATTGCTTGGCTGTAGAATTCCGAATTTATATTGGTTGGATGAGTAAACATTCAGTTTCCACATGTTCCAGATTTCTCGTCTTTTCAGTTCTTTTGGTTTGAACGACTTTGTGAGTGTGACTATTTCTTGATTTCAGTTAGAGATGGGTATATACCTCAGTGCTCCTAAAACAGAGAAATTTTCTGAAGATGGTGAGAACAGTAGGCTTAGATATGGGTTATCATCCATGCAAGGGTGGCGTGCTACAATGGAAGATGCTGTAAGTAATTACTCAAATTTAGTTCAGTATGATTCTTGATGCATTTTTAGCAAATGAACTTGTTGTATGGATTAGTGCCGTTAGCTTATTGTGGCATTGCTACTCATTAATTAGCTGTTTTTTGACAGAGAACTAATTCCAGCAATAGTTTAATGCTTTAAAACTGGTAGATTGGTGGTTTGGCTTTCATTATATTTCTGACATTCGCATATGCCATCACATTTAGCACCTGTTTGTCTCCCATTGAAACAAAACTTTTTAGTTTTCATACTTAATTTCAACCACACATTTACACAATAAAATATTTTGCACATACATCCTAAACTTTTCCTACTTTTGAACTGAACATTCTCCAAAAAATCATTATTCAAAACTCCAATTTTCCAAAATAAGGCCTAGGACATAAATGTGGGTATCCCTTCCCCATAGAACAATCAGGTGTGCTACCCACTTTTCTGCGTCTGTGATTACACTACCTTTTACGAGTTAAGTCCCTTCCTGCCTGATGAGTTCTTCCTGCTATGAAAGAGGGGTCTAGTGCTTGCTCTCATAAGCAAGATGGGAATTGTCAAACCAAAGAATTGATATAGATGTCTTGGCTTGTCCTGTGCTGTTTTAGGGCTTTAGCATTGTTTACGGCATACATCCGTTGGATTAGTCTAACCCGTTCCCCCTAGTGGTGAAGTAAAGCTAGCAAAGAACCCTCATTCCATGGGGATCTGAATTGTATAATCCATTGTTCCTCATGTGGTTCTTTCTTCGAGTTGCCCATGCTGTTACATTAGTAAATAATTTTGATTTGGTAAATTGAAATAATTTTGCAAGATTCTGTAAATCAATGTATACATTTTCTTACAAAATTGCATGGGCACCTAGGTCGCTAGAGAGAGGGAGCTTGTGGAGGTGGTGAAAGAAAGAAAATAAGAAACGACAATTGTATAATGTTATAATGCGAATTTGATAATTTTGGGATAAATAAGATAAATTATTAACCTCCTTGAAAGATTATGTAGGTTCACTCAGCCATGTGTTTTGGTCATTGGCTTGATGTTGAGACAGTATCATCTAATATTTTCTGTACACTTTTTTCATTATGAAGTCGTGTTGGAATGATTTTTAGTGATGAATACTAATGTGGGATATCTTAAGATTGCATCTTGTTTTATGCATCTAGTGCCTTTTGATTTGTCATTCAAGCTGACATTGACTATGGTCTTCTTGTTTTTCCTCAAGCATGCGGCAGTTACTGATTTGGATGCTTCCACCTCATTTTTTGGTGTTTATGATGGTCACGGGGGTAAGTTTTTCTACTTTTGCCCTTGTTATTTTGCATATTAAAATAAGGGTGCATATTGTATACCATGGCATGAAGATTTGGAATATGAATACGCAAAAGAAATATTATGTGTTGACTGTCGACATTTACATACTATGATTATAATTAGCTTAAATGGAAATAATGGTTTGCTCTAAATCAAGTTTTGTTGCGCAACTCTTTGTTTTCTGGTTAGTCTGTTATTGTTCTCTTATCAATGTACTGAATTTCATAGGTAAGGCTGTTGCCAAATTCTGTGCTAAATATCTTCATCGACAAGTTCTCAAGCACGAAGCATATTTGTCCGGTGACATTGGAACTTCTGTTCAGAAATCTTTTTTCAGGTCATTTTCTAATCTCTGGTAGTCTTTAAGAGTTTCTGTTTGGTGTATGCATATATTATTTTATATGATGAATTCAATATATTAGGTCTTTTGTGCATGGCAAAACTATTTTCAACAGCTTTATGATGAGATACTTGCAACTAACATTAAGATCAGCAAACTTATACGGATTTAGGCAATTCTTAGAATATTACAGTTAATTCTAGTCTTCTTACTTAGGATGAACTGGTGAAGTAACTCATACAAATAGTTAGGGTCATCGTCTTCATGTTATGACATTAGTTGGATTCTTGAAGATCACTGGTCACTAAATATTCATTAGAAATGCCCTAAAGTGGTGCAATCCAGGTGAGCAACCTTAGAAGTATCTGCAAAAAATCCAATAGAAGCTGACATGACGAAATCCTGAAACTGCTAAAATCATGACAAACAAGATACTGCATACAATGAGATCTGAAATTCATATCTGAAAGACTACTGATAAAAATATTTGAGCAACACCTTCACAGAAGTCTGTCTATGTACATATGTGCATGGTTTTCATGCTTGCTACTATAATGAAGCTACACGCTTAGGCACCGCAGTTGTAATTGACTGTTCTTCAATTACCTCCTCATTTTCTCTGTGTGCGAAAAGTTAGAAATGCTATTACTAGGATATTATCATTATGACTTAGTATGGTGACAGTATATTATTTATCTAAAAATTTAAAAAAGATCCACCTCGATTGAGAGGATGTTTCATTCAGATCAACATGAGAGTTTAAGTGCATTGCATTGCCAGAATTTATGTTCTATATTTATAGAGGTTGGCCTCCTTGCTCTTCTTGTGTACCCCATTGTTTTAAAAAAAAAAAAAAAAAAAAAAAAAAAAAAAAAAAAAAAAAAAAAAAAAAAAAAAAAAAAAAAAAAAAAAAAAAAAAAAAAAAAAAAAAAAAAAAAAAAAAAAAAAAATAATA